GGAAGTCAATGGGGTCAACCCAAGTCAACCCAAGGTCAATGGAGGTCAATGGGGTCAACCCAAGTCAACTCAAGGTCAATGGAGACCCTCAAAGTCAATGGAGGTCAATGGAGGTCAATGGAGATCCCAAGGGTCAACCCAAGGTCAATGGAGATCCCAAGGGTCAACCCAAGGTCAATGGAGTCAACCCAAGGTCAATGGAGTCAACCCAAGGTCAATGGAGATCCCAAGGGTCAACCCAAGGTCAATGGAGGTCAATGGAGGTCAATGGAGATGACAAGGGTCAACCCAAGGTCAATGGAGGTCAATGGAGGTCAATGGAGATGTCAAGGGTCAACCCAAGGTCAATGGAGACCCCCAAAGTCAACCCAAGGTCAATGGAGACCCCCAAAGTCAACCCAAGGTCAATGGAGGTTGATGGGGATGTCAAGGGTCAACCCAAGGCCAATGGAGACCCCTCAAGTCAACCCAAGGTCAATGGAGGTCAATGGGGTCAACCCAAGGTCAATGGAGGTCAATGGAGATGTCAAGGGTTAACCCAAGGTCAAGGGAGACCCCCAAAGTCAACCCAAGGTCAATGGAGGTCAATGGGGTCAACCCAAGTCAACCCGAGGTCGATGGAGACCCCCCAAGTCAAGGTTGGGTCAATCCAAGGTCTTGGAGGTCCTCAAAGTCAACCCAAGGTCAATGAAGACCCCCCAAGTCAACCCAAGGTCGATGAAGACCCCCCAAGTCAACCCAAGGTCAATGAAGACCCTTCAGGCCAACGAAGACCCCCAAAATCAATGCAAGGTCAAGGAAGGCCCCAAAAAGTCACCCCAAGCTCTTGGAGACCCCAAACCCCACCCCGAGACCCCCCCAAACTCAACCCAAGACCCTCCCAACTCAACCCAAAACTCACCAAGGCACTTGTGGGCCTCGACCTCTTGGACGGCGCCGGAGGCCGGGTGGTCGACCCGGCACGAGAACCTCCGGTCCCTCCACTCCTGGAAGGTGACGTTGACCCGGGAGCTCAACCGGAAGGTCCCCGGCGACGTCACGTCCGGTACGGGCGGTTCCACCTCGGGGGGCGGGGCCAGGGCGTGGCCGTCGGCCAACCAGGTGAGGCGGAGGGGGGGAGGGGCGAAGGCGGTGGCCAAGCACAGCAGCTCCACCCACGGGGCGGTCTCGGCGCGCTCGGGGTCGGCGTCGCAGGCGTGGTAGACGTGGATGGCGGGGGGGCGGGGCGTGGGGTCTGTGACGTCATTGGAGGGGTGGGGTGGGAGTCAAAGGTCAACTCGAGGTCGAGGAAGACCCCAAAAAGGTCAAGCCGAGGTCTTGGAGAGCCCCAAAAGTCAACCCAAGGTCTTGGAGACCCCCCCAAGTCAACTGGAGGTCAATGAAGACCCCCAAAGTCAACTGGAGGTCAACCAAGACCCCAAAGGTCAAGGTTGGGTCAACTGGAGGTCTTGGAGGTCCTCAAAGTCAACTGGAGGTCAATGAAGACCCCAAAGGTCAAGGTTGGGTCAACTGGAGGTCTTGGAGGTCCTCAAAGTCAACTGGAGGTCAACGAAGACCCCAAAGGTCAACCCAAGGTCAATGGAGACCCCAAAGGTCAAGGTTGGGTCAACTGGAGGTCTTGGAGATCCCAAAGGTCAACTCGAGGTCAATGAAGACCCCAAAAGTCACCCCAAGGTCAACCAAGATCCCAAAGGTCAAGGTTGGGTCAATGAAGACCCCAAAGGTCAAGGTTGGGTCAACTGGAGGTCTTGGAGGTCCTCAAAGTCAACTGGAGGTCAATGAAGACCCCAAAGGTCAAGCCAAGGTCAATGGAGACCCCAAAGGTCAAGGTTGGGTCAACTGGAGGTCTTGGAGGTCCTCAAAGTCAACTGGAGGTCAATGAAGGCCCCAAAGGTCAACCCAAGGTCTTGGAGACCCCAAAGGTCAAGGTTGGGTCAACTGGAGGTCAATGAAGACCCCAAAGGTCAAGCCAAGGTCTTG